CTTCGCCACTTGAACAGTGTTTCAAAGTCCGGCAAGCGCCTCTGCTACGGCTTCAACCTGCAGTGCGGGTGCGACCTCGAGACCTCCGGCTCCCCCAAGCAGTGCGACAGGGGGTTGCACCAGTGCATGAGCTGCGGCAGCACCGACCACGGAGCCGCAGATTGCCCAAAGAACGCAGGGGCCGCCTGACTAGGCACCCTTGCACCGAGCGCGGCAGAGCCGCAACAGCCCTCAGAGACAGGGCCTGCAGCTCTTATCCCAGCAGCGCTGGGCTCTTCCGCCATTGCTCCTCGTTCAGGGCAGAGCCCTGACCCTTTGGCCTCGGCACCGCCGCTGCGCCCGCCTGCAACAAGTAAGCCAGGACGTGCCACCGCTGCGCCGTCGCAAGACGCCGCGCCCGCGGTGAACGCCGAGCCCCCAGTGCTCCTCTTGTCCGAACAGCACAGCGTGCTGGCAGACAACGCTCGGAGCGTTCCTCTTCCCGAGCCGGCTTCGCAAGCGACCCCTCGGCCTCCGCTTTTTGTGGAAGTTTTCTGCGGCCTCGGTCGCCTTAGTAAGGCAGCCATCGAGAAAGGCTTCTCGAATATCGCCGTGGATCACAGGACCAAGGCCAGAGGCCTCAAGGTCCTTCAGCTCGACCTTTGCACCCAGTTGGGTCGCAACTTGCTGAGAGCAGTGCTCTCACACCAAGATTTGAGATGGGTCCACTGGGCCCCCCCGTGCGGCACCTTTAGCAGAGCTAGAGAGATTCCCAGGCCGGGAGCTCCGGGCCCCTTGCGCAGCGAAGCGCGCCCAGCGGGCCTTAAAGGCCTCAAAGGAGCCGACGCCGCGCGAGTTCGCAGCGCGAACAGCCTAGTCGCTTTTATGGCACAGTGTTGCCACTCCCTGTCTCAGCGCGGCGTTTGCTGGTCCATAGAAAATCCGGCTCGTAGCCTCCTGTGGAGGAAGATCGGGCCCGAACCGACCCCCCATGTCCGCTAGGAGAAAAAAGAGAGTGCTTTGCACAGGGTCCTTTCTGCAGCGCAGTTAGGGTTTCCCAAACGCGCGCTAACGGAAGTTTCGTTGGAAAATAAACTTCGATCTCTTGCAAGGTGCTGGGGAATGCAGAGCGCAGCCAGTCAGTCAGCACGCGCGCACGTGTGTGTGTGTGTGTGTGTGTGTGTGTGTGTGTGTGTGTGTGTGTGTGTGTGTGTGTGTGTGTGTGTGTGCGTCATCCCTGTACGAGAGGGCTAAGTAATACTGCAGGGGGGAGGGTCCTTCGCTTGTGCCTCAGCCAATGAAGACCGCAAGTGCAAGGTGGACTTAAGATTGGCCTCAGTGTTTGCTTGCGTGACAACATGCTGTTGCCTTGGTGTGAGGATCTTTCCAACCGTGTACAGTCTCAACAATGCTTGAATCTCGCGACCAAGAGATGACGATACAACGCAGTAGATCTAGACATAACTAGCTGAGAAAACACGTTCCCTGGGCATGTTTCCTAGTGTAACTACAAGTACCAAGTTAGGACAGAACGAAGACTTATCAACTGAACATTTGGCTCAAGGAAAACAAGTGCGATTGCTGTACTTGTTGCTGTTCCTTGCTAGAGCACTTGTGTCTCTTGTGTTCTTCTGGTTAACAGCCTCAGCTTTGAGATACTTCGTTTGTGTTGTGGTTAGGAGAGTCTAGAGCCTCTACCTGAGTCATAGCCTTTCATATTTCTCCACGGTCCTTTGGTGTTGAGAGCGAAATCGCATTGCGTAGGGCAAATCAGCTGTCCTGCCTCGTGCTGATACTCCCCGTGTTGAGCTAGAGCCAAGCCACCGGGTTGAGTTACATATTCGCAAACATTACGCACTTCAATCACTGGGTTAGATTCATACAACAGCTGCGCGTGCGACAGATAACACGTGCACTTGTCAGTCATCCACTGAATCTTTGGACTAGACTTGCAAGGGCCCTAAGGAAAAGGGTTTACAGGCAAGCCAGACTAAGGGTTCAAGAACTTCTCACACTTCGCAGGTGGTTTAGTCTTAGACTTGAGGAGGTACCTGTCCCGTGGTTTCCGCTTCGTGGACCCTCCCCTTGGCCTCAGGCACCACCTTAGTTACCGTGTATGCCCAGAGCAGACGGGCATCCTACGGTGTGTGAAGCTCTGCACGACTGGTTTGTGGATCTTTACTATAGGATAAGGCTTTGGGTACTTGAGACGTTCTTCCCCACTTACCTTCAGAATCGTAGGAGGTGGAACAGGACTAGAACGCGCAGGCGAAGGATTGTCCGCAGGTCCATTGAATCGTGGTATCGCACATCCTTCTTCTTGTACCGATTGCATCAGATACATAGGGTAACCCAATTCCGATACGCAGACGATTATATCGATTGGGGAATCCCGAGATACTACCCATAACCGAAAGGCTGCATTCGCGCTCGTCTCCGCTTGCTGCGTTGAGGCCGCTGCATCCTTTCAGGTCAGGGCGTGCACCGTGTTGGCATTTCGCCTCCGGTAGACTGGGAACAAACATCGGATCATCCCAATACCCCAAACCCGGTCTGCTTGACCAGTTCAGTGGACCAACTAACCATAACAATCAAAGATTGTGGTAATAACCCATACACCTCTTCCGAGACCCGTTCACGGTTTAGGAAGGCCTAGGGCTTCGTGGTGTGCCGGGTTTTGTGAAAGGGTTCCAAACGGTTTCCCATCACCGCCATTGTCCCAAACGACATTGAAGGCAACGGTTGCATTCCCGTGGTTCTCCCTTTGAGGTTGAGGATCTTTGGTTGATCGCTTCCGTGCCCTCCTGCTGGCATCTCGCCACTGGAGTAACCACCAAAGCAACTCCCATTGCCCAAAGCAACCAAAGAGTTGAGGGTGAAAGACCTGCGTGCCTCCACTGTGCTGGCTCATAGCCACCGGCTGCATTGTGGTTGGTTGTGGTTGGTGATAGCTTCGGGTGTGTTTGGTGTCACGCCGAGATCTGCGTCATCATCCGGTAGGCATTCCGTCAAGCCAACGATTCAGGCAAAGGGATACATTAAGCCACAGTTCCGGCACTGGGGGATATATTAAGCCACAGTTCCGGCACTGGGGGATACGTTAAGCCACAGTTCCGGCACTGGGGGATACATCAGGCCACAGTAACGGCACAGGGGTTTTGAGTAATCGTCCGGTGAGTTCGATGGATCCGGTTACGCAGCAGGTTCTGGATGCTGCTCCGACCATTAGTGCGGACGATGACCTCAGCAGCCGGTTGCGGGCTTTTATTTCCCTGACGGGCGGAGGAGCTGCTAAGAACAGGCGTCGTAAAGCCCTCTCTATTGAAATCCTTCGGGGCATGCTTCGCCATCTTCATACCTTGACTTCGCTCGAGGCGTCACGACTTGTTAACGTTGTCCGAGACCGCCTTACGGAGATTGATGATCCTGGTTTTAGCTTTACCTCCAGCTTGACTTTGCTCCCAGCGCTTCCTTCTGATTATCCCGATGCTGACACTCTTGATCCGGCTGAGCCCGAGGCGGAGGTCGTAGAGGTGGACACTGAGCCGGCGAGCTCTTTCGATGGACCGGTAGGGGCTGTACCCGAACCGACGGTTGATGCTGCCATTTATGTGCCATCACCCAACACTCCACTTGATCCGCCTGCTCCAACTCCGAGATCCAGATCGCCGGTTCGTGACGTGGCTGTCAGTGTTGCTAGCCCTCCAGCTCCACCTGCACCAAGACCTAAAGTAGGCGGGGTAAGGACACCATTCCCACCAACACCTAGACCAAAGGTAGATGGGATTAGGACTCCAACGCCTCCACCGGCGCCCCGTGAGACTAGAGGCACACCCGCTGGGGGATTCATCGTCAGCCGCCCAAAGAGGCGTGCTCAACCACGTGAGGACGCTTCGGGTGATGAATATTTTTTGTCGAGTACCCCTCGATAGAGGAATCTTTTGGGCCAAAGGCGTCAGGGGTTTCCGTAGGTTCGGGTTGCATTGGAGATTGGACTTCTGAACAGTGGCGTGAATATAACCGTAAACAGGAGGCGTCCACTGCTTCTGCTTCTTCTGCCTCTGGTGCCGCTGTTTTAATGGATTTGCCGCATCGAGAGAGCTCTGCTGCATCATCTTCCGGAGACGCTGCTCCGGCTCCTCCGCGTATTGCAAACCTGCGCTCATTGTCAGACCTGCCACATGAGAACTTCGAGATCATCCCGCTTAAGCGCTTGTTTTCATCAGCTCACCATTTGGACTCGATTGTTGTACGTAGCGGCTATGACCTGGCATCCACCTCTCCTGCGGAGCTCTTTCCTCGCGCCGTGGCGATCAATTACTATGACACTTTAGCTCACAAAGCTGATGTTGCCGATCGCATTGATGCGGCGATTAATGGATCCGCCGGGACGCGTATTCCGCTTGACAACGTACGCTGGCTGAGCAGAGTGAACCACGCTCGAATTCTTCCATTGCTTCTTACCTTTATAGGTAAAGGGAAGGCGGAGGCGTGCACGCGAGAGCTGGTGAATGCAGGGGTCTGTAAACTTTTTGCTGCGTCCATCGTGATCACGTCAAAGGCTGGTTTTAATGGCAAGGGCGCCGTATGCCAGGTTTTTGGAATCCCTACGATGATTGATGACTCGGACGAGGTCGCCAATGATTGCAAGGGACGCGGCATCTACGTGTATCAGGTCAGCTCGAGCCGGCGGTTGGCATCGGTACCAGTGGAGAGGCTTCTCGAGTGAGCGCTGGCCAAAAGTTTGGAAACCGCGTGACCAACTCTAAGTTTCCCTTCGTTGCGTGCTGCGGCATTTTGCTTAGTGCTGCACCCGGGGTGGATTCTGTGGATTGCGACTCGGGTCTTAAGGTTCATTCTTTCGGGTTTGTGGCATTGGCATTCCGCCACCCGCACTAGTTAGGTGCTGCGGCATTTTGCTTAGTTCTGCACCCTTGTGTGGTTTCCCATTGGCCCGAGAACCGAAACACTTGCAAACCGAACATTGTGGTGTTGGCATTCGGCCACCCACAGTGGTAACAATGGCGTCTTCGCATGAAATGGAGACGGATCCACTGCAGATCTCTTCCACCTCTGCTTCCGACGAAGCTGCAGCTGCTGTGCAGGCACCGGATGTGTCATTCGGGTTATCGGTCGTAACCGAAACTAAACAAAGTAGCGGGAGCGAGAGCTCACCCAGGAGTGCGAGTAGAACCGCATCCGAGGGTAGGATTGTTGCTGCATCATCATTAAAATAGGCCTTCGAGGGCTTCTAGTCCCTACCATAGGAACAAAACCGCCCCGAGACCAAAGCACATGTATGCGTGCGAGGTTGCAAAACCTAAGATGCCAACACCTTCCGGTAATCCAGTAACGTATGGACCACCACCACAAGACTAAGAGGTTCATCTACATAAGCACCAGCAGTTGGGTGTCATTGTACAAGGGGTTGACACTCAGGTTCATTCCCAAGCATTGGCGCAAGCCCAGATTGTTGAAAGCCAGGCAGTAGCATATGCTTCCGAGGTTCAACAACAAGCTCAGGATCAGGTCCAGGCTATCGCCGCCAACATGAGCAATCAAGCCCAAACACGGGTTCAGGCCATTGAGCAACAGGCGCAAGCTATGGTTTCGGAGGTTTCCGTTGAAGCTTCGAGGCAACTGGCTGTGGCAAATGAGACCATTGCTAGCTTGAAGCAACAAAACGAGATGTTGGCTCGTCAACAGCAGGAGCTTTACAGTCAGATTGCGACGTTGCAAAGCATCGTAGCGGAAGTCAAGGCCGGTGCTGTAAGTACGAGTGTACCTCAGATTCCTCAAACCCAAAATGGCGCGGAGATTACCGAAGCGCTTAAGGCCATGGCATCACATGTTGGACAAACCATGAATGAGCTTAAAGATGCAGTGTTGTCCTCGTCCGCCGGAAATTCACCAAAGGCGAAAGGGCGCAGGGATTATAAGAAGGATTCGGATTATTCGGTATCGGGGATTCCACTTGGCAATCCACTTGGCAAGGCTGCTAAAGCCCCGTACTTCTCCAGTCCCCCACCTTATGCATGTGAGCGACAAGCATCCACGAATTTCTTCGATGCTTGGGCACGGTCCTCATCATCACTTGCCAATCGCCCATCAGCTTATGCATGTGAGAGGTCGGCAACGCCATCATCGAATGCAAATGCATCACCTGTGTTCACGACACCATTCTCTAGCCTAAAACCTTTAGCGGGCCAGGCTACAAGTAAAGGTATCGGGATTGGTGCGGGTTTTGCGCCCGCCATTACACCCATCGCTGGGCCGCCGGGCCCGCCACCGCCTCCTGAGCCTGAGATCTTCGACATAGGAGATCCCGAGGAGGGTGAGGAAGAACAGGTTGATGATGATCCCATTGTTGAGCCGCGAGCTGTTGGTAACAATGATCGGGGTTTTGATGGTGGTGCTGATGCGCAGCCTCATGATGAAAATGAGGAAGAGGACTATGAAGCAGCTACTTACAAGTATAAGGATCTTCAAGACCTGAAGATGCCACAGCTTCCAAAGGATAATGTGGGTTTCAGATCGTGGCGCAACGCGCTGCTGACGCAGTACTCTGCTATTGATCGCACGGGTCAAGCCAGGATTCTTAGATGGCTGCAAATATGCATTAGAACTGAGGTGACAAACCGCGAGATTGCACAACTCCAGAACAATCCTGATCAGCTCCCACGATTAGACTCATTCCTTGCATCGCAGATTTCGGATTCGAGGTATATGAAAGGGGAGTTCGGGCTTGAAGTGCAGGCGTACATTGAGAGGGCGCATGCACATGGGGTTTTACCATCTGGTCGAGCGATGATAGCAATGCTTTCGCGCAGGTTTCGCGTAGATCGGGTAAGAGGTGCTACGGTCACACAGCAAACGTTGTTGGCTGTAACGTTGGACGGATTCTCATACAATCAGATGCAGACTTTTAAGGAAAGAGTCGAACACATTCTGAATGGGATAGCCCCTGAGCACTGGCCGTCTGACGCGACCTTGTTTTCGTGGTTTTACGCTAAGATTAAGAGTTCAAGGGGAATGCAACGGATCATTGACAAAGTTAAGGATTCCTCCCCAACTTCCCGTAGGAGGACGTTCGGATGGCTCTGGGAGCAATTCTCAGATCACTTGGCAGAGCTGCGTGAAGACGCCAACGAACGAGACTTTAGCGAAGCAATGCTGAGAGAAACCGAGGGAAAAGGGAATAAGACCACGGCAAAGCCTACAGGTCAGGATGCTAATGCAAAGGCAAAGTCGATTGCAACAGCAGTTCCCGCAAAGGACACCGCCGTTCCAGCAGCGCCCGGAAAGCCTCCCAAAGGGACACCAAAAGGTAAGGCTAAGGCTAAACCCAAGGCTAAGGCTAAGGGTGGAGCCAAGGGTGACGGATCCGGTGAGGATAAAGGCAAAGGTAAAGGAAAAGGGAAAGGCGATCCAAAGGGTCCCCCACCAAAGGCGGATGCAAGCGCTGAGGCTAAAGCAGCTACCGTACCATGTGGGTTCTTCCCGAAAGGAACATGCAACCGAGGCAAAGACTGTCCATTCTCACATGAGACAGGGGGGAGCAGTAAGCCCAAAGGAGCTTCTACTTCATCAGCCGCGGTAGCATTGCTACTCCCAACAACGGCCGCAGGGAGAGCTGTCGGAAATGCAACACGTGTTGGCACAGCTGCCACTCGTGATTCCCGCAATAGCCTTTTGCGTATCGGTTTTAACGCCGTTTGCAAGGCGCTTGCTACACTTGCCACCTTTGTTTGTCCTGACTTTTCTGCGATTGCACATGAAGCTTGGACATCGCAATCCCTCGCAGCGCCTGCCATTCTTTCGTTGCCAGCCGGGGTTCAAAGGGCTTCGGGTTATAGCTATAAGCTTGACTGGATAGCGGATTCTGGTGCAGGTCGCAGCTTGACCTCTTTTGAGTCGTTGAGGGCTCAGGGTGTTTATACCGATGACCTCGTATGTCACGAGGATGAGCCAGTATCCTTTGAAACGGGTAACGGTAGGACTGAAAGCAGTAGCACCTTCAACACTGTTGGAGCTACCTTTGGGCATCATAAAAGCTATGTGCTGAATAGTTGCCCCACTGTTCGGAGTATGGGCGAACTCGTCAGTCAGGGTTTTGCCTTCGTTTGGATGCCAGGTGAATTGCCGTACTTTGCGCCCCAGGGCGCACTACAGTTATCAGCTGATAACACACGGGTACATAAGGCAGCTAGGGTAGAAGGTAATGTCCCGATCTTCTCCGAAGAGGTTCAGTTCGCTATGCCGGCCCAGAAGAAGTTGATGCATGACTCAGCCCGTTCGTCAAAGACTTCAAAACAAATCACTTTTGATTCGGGATCACGTGAAATCTTCTATGATCCTGGAGTCCCTAGTTCAACAGCCGCAGGATCTAGGGATCCCGATCCGACCGTAGAAGTAGAGGAACCAAAGGCTCCCGAAGAAGATTCCGATCAACTAGTGCCGCCGCCACCGTTACCGCCACCGGCAAAGCCACCAGGTGATGGCGAGTTGGCAGATTCAGAAAGAGAGTCAAGCGAAGAGGATGGGCTTTCTAGGCATCGGAGGCTTGTGAGAGAAGCGCAGAGTCTTGAGCATAGATTGTCCCATTTTCCAAAGAACCCGGCATGCCCCACATGCCAAGGGAGTAGAATGTATCGCAAGCGAGTCACATCGAAACGTGCGGACCCACTCGCTGACCGAGGGATGCTGCCCGAGGTGACGCAATTTGGGGAAAGGATCGCCGCTGACTTCATCATTGTAAGAAAGCTTAAGGACGGCAAAGAAAATGCAGTCCAAGTAGTGCGCGATGAGTTTTCAGGGTGGATTAGAGCATATCCGATTGCAAAAAGGGACACGGATTCGGTTTCACGGCACCTTCTGTTGTTCTTAGGCCCAGCATATGATGATCGAACAACCGTCATGTGCAAATCCGATCAAGCAGCTGAGATTCTGGCTGCATGTAAGCGTTTGGGCTTCATACGTGAGGGTACGCTTGAAAATCGTTTTCCCCACAATTCACAGCTTGAGCGAGACATCAGAACCATTGAAGAGATCGCGAGAGCTACGCACTTAGGTGCTGGTTTCGAGGTCGTTCCGGACTTATGGCCGTTAAGTGTAGACTACGCGGCTACAATGTTATCTGCAAAGCACATTGCTGCTGGCAGAGATCAGACTCGCCACTGCCTGGCAGTTGGCACGGAGTTCACTGGACGCAAGCTTCTGTTGGGACAGCTCGTGCATTATTGTTGACGCTACGTTGAGGGATAAGATAGCTCCTTCAACGAATCCAAGTTTAGATACGATTCGGGCCCAAAGAGCTTTAAAGGGGTGTTGTTTGTTCTGGATTATCAGAAGATCAAGAACCGCACTCCCGGTTATGCAATCCCCATAGCTGTTCCTACTGAGGAGGTTTGGGTTGACGACAAACAGCCACCACAACTTCCTTTGAAGCGTGCTGCCGAAACTGCGTTAGCAAACTTTGACCAGCCAAAGCTAGATGACATTCAACCCTTAGACATACCGTTTGCTGCAATTGATGGCGTAACTACGCCACGAACGCACAATGAGTATATCACCATGGATAGAGTTTTCAAATTCGGTGCCACGCCGGGGTGCCGAGGATGCGAATTCGAATCAACAAAACATACGCCGCTTTGTAGGGCTAGATTCAATGCATTGATTCGCGCCGACAGAATTGCCAAAGCTCCTAAGACACCACCTGTAACACCAGCTGATCCAGTTGGCTCCCGAGCCACGGAGAATGCAGATCCAGGGGGGTCACATGAAGAGGCCGCGAGTGCTGAACATGTTGAGCAAGGTGCCGTTGGTAAGATTGTTGATGACATTGATACGAAGTTCCTTGAACGGCACTCCGTGATGAATCACGCGAGGCGCATTGCAACATTAACAGAAATGCCAGGCATGAACGTGCTGTTAGAGTATGCTGGCCATGTGGATTCAAAGGTTGCACAAGCCGTCAGCGATATAGGCGCTAAGTGCATAAAGTTATCCTCCGATGTAGTTGACCCGACAAACAAAGATCATGTTGATCAAGTTTTGGGACAGCTTCAACATCTAAAGGGTTCTGACCTTTGGGTTAACTTATCCTTTGTAGAACGTCACAAAGGCAAGCATAAAGCACACCGCAAGGTAATCGAAGATTCACTGCGTCAGACATTGCCACTGTTGCAAACCTGTCTTGACAATCATAGCGTATGCGTGGAATCACAAGCTTTGGAGAGATTTTGAGTCAGCCAGCTGCCTGAAGCGTGTATCCTTCGATGGGTGTATGCTCGGTTTTGAGGGTGACCACTATCCCAAGCATC